CGCGCGGACCTGCGAGACCGACGCCGCGCGCGAGCGCGTCTTCCGCCTCGTTTACGAGCAGGACTCGCTCGTCGTCCGCATCGCGCACCACTTCGAGGCCCAGCTCTACATGGGCCGCGACACCGTCGTGCTCCGGGACATGTCCGTCAACGACGCGCTCTACGTCCGCGGCCGCGCGACAAGAAAGGGGGGGGGGGGGGCGCCGCCGCGCGGTGCGGACGCGCGCGCCGCGCAGGTCGTCGAGGTCGGCAACGTCATGGTCTTCGGCGCGTCGTCCGCGGGCCAGTTCAAGTGCTCGGCGAAGCGGGGCACGCAGTACTTCGGCGACGACGTGTCCATGCTCCTCTGCGGGAATCGGAAGCCGCAGCTCGTCCACTACAGCGTGAAGACGACCGAGGTCACGCAGCTCAAGGTGCTCCCGGGCAAGGTCCTCGTGGACATCCTGACGAAGACGCCGTCCTTCAACCTGCACCACCGCCAGATCAAGCGCTACGGCTGCTGGCTCCTGCTCAAGGCGTCGCTCATCCGCCACGTCCGCGAGCGCGCGGCGCGCGACGGCCCGCAGCTCGCGACGATGGTCAACCGCTTACTCGGCAAGTCCTTCGACCCGTCGCGGCAGGCGCAGCGCCTCTCCGCCGTGGGCCAGCGCGGGCCCCGGGCGACGAGCCCGCCGGTCTACGTGCGGTCGTCCGTCGGCACGGTCCCGTCGCTCGCGCAGGCCGCGCGCGCGCACGGGCCCGACCGCGGCTCCGCGCCGCGCGGCGCGGGCGCCGCGGGCGGCGCCGGGCGCCTCGGCGCCGCCGCCGCGGCGCCGACGAAGGCCGCCATCGCCGCGGCGCTCCACGCGCGGACCCGCGGCGCCGGCGGCGCATGCGGCGCCGCGCCGTCGGACGACCACATCTTCCGCTTCCTCCTGAAGCACTTCGCGACGCGCGCGGCGGCCAACGCGAAGGAGGCCGCCGACGCCGACGCCTGGGAGGGTGCGAACCCGCGCTACGCGGCGCTCTGCCACGCGCTCTACGACTCCATGCAGGACGGCGGGCCCTACGCGGACGCCTACTTCGTCCGCGGCGCGCCCGCGGCGAGCCCGGACTCGTCGGACACGGAGAGCGGCACGGGCGCGGTCCAGCCCGGAGCCGGCGACGCGGAGAGCGACGACGACGACGCCGGGGCGGGGTAAGCCCCTAGCGAGCGCGCGGCGGCGCGGCGGGGGCGGCCGGTCGGCCGGGCGCGCGCCGCGCGCCGCGGCGCCGGCGCGCGCGGAAGCCCGACTCCTCGACGACGAAGGCGGCGCCGTCGCCGGGGTCGTCCGCGGAGGCCCACGCGCCGTAGTCGATCCACTTGCGGAAGTGGAAGAGCGGGAGCTCGACGACGTCCCCGGGCGCGCGGCCGCGGAGGCGCGTCGCGGCGGGGACCGCGTCGCGGCCCGCGCGGGCCGCGACGCGGACCGCGTCGCCCGGCCCGAGCGCCGCGGGCGACGCGTGGAGCGCCGCGCGCGGCGCCGTGCGGCAGATCCACCGCATGTCCGCGCAGTCGCGGAATACGGCGAGCGGCCCCGCGTCCGGCGCGGCGCCGGCGCGGGCCGGCGCGCCGGCGCCGCTCCGGACCGCGGACCGCCAGGCCCGGAGCCGCGCCGCGCAGCCGTCGCCGCGGCACCGCGCGAGGCGCCCCACGGCGGCGGCCTCGTGGTCGCCGTGCGCGAGGGGCGCGACCGCCGCGACGACGCCCCGCGCCGCCGCGGCGTCGGACGCGAGCACCGCGCACGAGTAGCAGCCCTCCGCGGACACGAAGGCCGCGAGGCCGCCGCCGCACGGCCCGAGGCCCGCGCCGTCGAGGCGCGCGGCGGCCGCCGCCGCGTCCCAGGCGCCGCGCGTCGCGTCGGAGCGCGCGCGCTCCGCGCGCTTCGCCGCGCGGCGGTCGCCGGCGGCGTCGAGCGCCCGCGCGTGGTCGAGCTTGTAGTCGAGGTTCGCCTCGAGCCGCGCGCCGAGGTGGTCGCAGGCCTCCCAGAGGAAGTCCGTCGCGTTGCCCCGCGCGTGGAGCGCCCACTGGCCCCGGAGGAAGAGGCGGCCCGCGTCGCCCTCGAAGCTCCACGTCTCGACGTCATAGCGCGGGCCGGGCCCGCGGAGCCAGCCGTCGAGGTGCCCGAAGACGACGTCCGCGTCCGTATAAGTCCAGTGGCTGAACCGCGCGAGCTGCGCCGCGAAGGCGTAGCCCCAGGCGGGCTTGAACTCGCAGAGCGCGCCCGGCGACGCCGCGAGCACGGCCGCGAGCTTCGCGACGACGCGCGCCGCGTCGAGCCCCGCGCGCGCCGCGAGGCGGCCGCCGACCGCCGCGGCGACGCCGCCGTCGGGGAGCTCGACGACGTCGACGTTGGGCTGGGCCCGGCAGGCCGGGGCCACGGAGCGCCGCGCGCGCGCCTCGTGGACGAGCACCAGCGTCGCCGTCGCCGCGCCGCCGGCCATGGACCGGCACGTGAACGACAGGTGGGGCGGCAGGTCGCCGCCGACCCAGGGCAGCAGGATGCCCACGCGCATCGCGCCGCTCAGCGCGTGGACGAGACGCGCGCCGCCAGGTGGGTATCGCGCCGCTCAGCACGTGGACGAGACGTGCGCCGCCAGGTCGTGTGGCGCCAGGGCAGCGGCAGGATCACCTGCAGCAGCGCGCCTCATAGCCTTCGAGCTCCTGCAAGAGCTGCACCGTATGCCGTAAAAGTTGAAGTTCAACTTGAACCCCGTGCGTAGAGGGGAGATGGGGGCAGCCGCGCCGTAGGACCGCTCGCCGCGCGCCATGGGGGGGCGGGGCGGTTCCCTCGCCGCCGCGTGCGTCGCCGCCCTGGTCGGCGTCGCGTCCCCGTCGTCGCGCGCGGCGTCCTACGCGTCGCTGGCCTGCGCGAGCGCCGGGCCCTGGTGCCTCGTCGTCGACGACGGCCGCAACGAGGTGTCCGCCGCGGACCTCGACAGCGGCGCCGTGTTCACGGTCTGGGGCGGCGGGTCCGGCCCCGCCGTCGACGGGAGCGTCTGGGAGGCGCGCTTCGACGGCCCGCGCGCGGTCGCGCTGCTCAGGGCAGCAAAAGAGAGCGAAATTCCCAACTTCAAAGGCTCATATCTCGGCCGTTTTCCACTCGTTTCGGCTGATTTTTGGACGAGCGATCATCTCTCGGAACGGTCTCGAAGCGCGGATGCTTTTTCCGGAACGCGCGCGCGCGGAATACTCACGTTGAAGCGACGTTGAATCACCCTTTTGCTGCCCAGGCGCTGCTGCGAGGCGACGCGGTCGCGGTCGTCGGCGAGCGCGGCGGCGCGGTGCGGCTGCTCGACCTCGCGACGCTCGCCGTGTCGACGCTGGACCTCGGCGGCGCCTGGGACGGCGCCGTCGACGCCCTCGCCGTCGACGCGCGCGGGTCCTTCGTCCACGGCCGCGGCGCGGTCCCCGCGTCGACCGGCGGTCCGGGGGCTCCCGGCCGAACGTCGGACCCCTCGAGCGCTCGAGTCCACGCGGCTCACGTTTGGACGAGTCGTCGTCGCTCGTCGAGGGCTCGTCGCGCGGGAGGCGCGCTCGCGTCGCGCCCGCCGAAGCCGTCGCGGTCGGCTCGACGCTTCGGACGCCGCGCAGGCGCGGGCGTCGTCGTCGTCTACGGCGCGTCGGCCGGCGGCGGCGCCGTCTACTCGTGCGACCTCGGGCCCGACGGCGCGGTGCTCGACGCGCGCGTGGCCGTCGCGGCCGCGCCGCCGGGCCTCGGCGCGCTCGCCTTCGACGCCGCGCGCGGCGAGCTGCTCATGGCCGCGAACCGCGCGGAGGTCTGGGCGTCGCCGGGCCGCGTGCTCGGCGCCGCGACGCCCGTCGCCGCCCTCGCGGCGGCGGAGCCGGCCGGCGGCGCGTTCCTCGACGCGCT